TACGAATGTAAGTACAGGACCCACTGGAAGAAAGGTGAGAGCGACCTTTGCGCTATTTTTAGAAAACCAGTTTCGTTATCCACATTTAATTTTAGATCCCAAGGTGGCACATATGCACCTACTTTGCTGCGCCTTGATTAAAAGGTGGATCGTATTTCTTCTCATTTTTTGTCACTTTATCAGCGAAAATAATTTTGGAGCCTGAAGTTTTAGGGGCAGGGTCTTCTAATTTAGCTCCAGGTGGCATTTTCAATTGGCAATTCTCGCCTGGTTCGTTTAAATTTGCAAGTCTGCCCATAAACCGTTGAATTGGATCATTAGGACGACACTGGGCTGGTTAAACATCCATAATTTCACAAACAACAAAATAAACAACAAATTTAATGATGAAATTTAAGTGAAGTTGAAAGTTTTATGCTTAAATGAGGTGAAGATTAAGCAATTTATTATTCACAAATTAAAAAAGCAAATTTTGACTGTTACTTTTCTTGATTATTTTAATTTTAAGACATGTGAATAAATTATAGTGTAAATAATAGGATTATTATTTCCATTCCAGATAAATAAAAAAAACCCTGTTATTCAGTGATTCTTTTAAAAATACAACTTCTGCCCAACTAAGCTAGTTTAAAAATAAAATAATAATAACATTATGTAACATAAAGTTGGAACCAATAAAATTGACTAGTGGTCTGTCTTTATGACGTATATTTGATATACAGTATGAGCAAAATTACGTCCTCCTCTCAGGAAGGAGTAAAAAATTGGGAGGTAACTTTTCACGAGGCTATTTTAAGTCATGAGCAAAAACACATATTGCTTAAAACTGGAACTTGCTTTATGTCTTAAAGCGAAATGATTGCCTATTAATATCCGGCCTGTATCGCAGATTCACGTTTTGCAACGATTTGAATGGCATTGGTCCCTACCCTCCACTTAGTCAGAAAAACCTGCTCACGTGTGCAAAAAAAAACTACACAGGCAGCTTTCACGCGAGTTCTGCGAGCTGTTTTTTTTTTCGCTCGCCGCGTCCACGCGAGGCTAAAGAGCAATTCCAGAGTGGGTTGTTGTAATAGATTCCCAAAAGGGCGGGAGCAATTATGTAACTGGCCCAACTTTTCATTTTTCATGCGTATATTTTAAATCACTCAAAAGAATCCTGAAAGTCCAATTAAAGGATGTGGCCGTGGTTTCTAAAAATAGCACAGCAAGACTATTTGTGTGCAATTTGTTAGCCTTAACGGTCGACAAACTGCTATCCTTGGTTTTATGGTATTAAAAAAAAATGCGAAAAACATGCGTGAATTCCACATTTATATTATGGTTGTTAAAAAGAAGATAATTTGCTATGGGTGTTTTAACTGACCTGCTGTCCTGGTTTAACTGTTGATATTAATGATATATCTTGAGTTACAAGGAAACAAGCAGATCAAAAAAGAAAAAGAAAAACGTGATGAGGGATAAAATTGACAATAAAAATGATAGTTTTCCACCACAGAGATAAAAATAACATTCAAATTTACTTTTTACTTCAATGTTCCATTTATTTTCATTTTTTCCATTAACATAAAACTTAAATTATTAGTAATTTTTCTAACTCAGAGAAGCATTGTATTATTATTAAACTCAACCATAGATCAGTTGATAACTTAAACAAGATAAATTACATTTGCCTGCACTATTTTTCAACAAACTTGTGAATCAAGTTATGAAATAATGTATTTTTGTTATTTAATTAGTAAAAAGGTTTTGGAGGGGGATCATATGATCTCTTTCCTATTCTATCAAATTGATATTGATTTTTCTAAATTTCATGATCTTGTTATTCTTACAGTTATACGCATAAAAACTGTCAGCATTATAAATTCAGAAATTGAAGACGCTTTTTCAACGTTTTTAAATTCACCCCAATTCAATTCGAAAGCTTGGTGTGACTCATCCGAGGGATGCTGGGGGGTTGATCAGATCTACTCATTTTTTTTTTTTGCATTTTAATGTGCAGCATCCGACGAGGATTGGCCTGGTCGGCGGCACCTTCATTGGCCCACGGTTTTTTCTCAACGCAAATAGCGAATCAAGCGCTGGGGATTCACATTTTTTTCAGCGAGGGGAGCAGCGAGCACCCCCTGCGTTCCTCCGAGGGTCGCCGCGTTTTTTTTGCCACGCACCTTTTGTTTCGACGCGGCAGCTGGGTTCATTTGCATGAGAGAGTTTTGTTTTTCTGCCGCCGCTCAACATCCGATGCAACATGGCGATGCGCAAAAAAAATTAATGCTGCGTTGGTCCGAGAGAGACGTTAGAAATTTCGTTTGTACACAAGAAGGGGTAAAGAAGCAGTGATGCTTTTTAAGATGTAAAAAGAGACGCACGTGGCGAAAAAAATTACGACGGTTATGACTGATCAGCATACATAAAAAAAGGTTAAGGCTAACTTGTCTGGGTGGATTTTCGCAGCAGCCGCGGCGTCAATTTTTTTCCTCGGATAAATTGGAATTTTGGTTTGCAAACAACTTGTGACCCTGGTTTTTTTTTGCGTAGAGTAAATTTTAATATTTTTTTTTTTTTAAATCGACGAATTTTATGAAAATATGTAATTTTTCGTGAAGAAAGATGATTAGCCTTATTTTAACTCAGATCTTAATCAGTGCATTTTAGCTCATTAAAAGAATATTGGTTGAAATGGTGTTCAACTGTTTCTCTCATCCCTATTGGAAATATTTTGAACTTTATTTGATTTAAAACGTATGAATATTCACATGGAGTTATTTTTGGAATTAATTGGTCACTCAAGCACTCCGGTTTCTTCGCCTTTTGCAGGAAAAAAATATTCAGGTGATAAAATTAAGCGGACTCAATCCGTCCACTTCTGTTTGGGAAAAATATAGCCGGAGATAAAACGCGTAAGTTTACGCAGGATAACACGATTCTGGACCAGTTAAACACCTTAAATATCAGATGGCTTTTATATATAAATAATTGATTAATGCGTTTTCTGCCAAGAGAGAAGCGGCGAGAAGGAATTTTTAACAAGTACGGTGATGACTTTTAGGAGAAAATTTCGTCGGCTTTACCACTGCCGAGTGAGATTTTAGCGATAAGCCAGAGGCACTGAAGCAGATTAATTCACTGATTGCGAGAGATAATCAATTTTTTCAGAGCAAATTAATTCTCAAGGTGTGGTGACGTCTGCGATAATAAATAAGACGGCCCAATTGCGCATATTTAAATTTCTGAGGTCTTTTACAACTATTTTTTCAGGGAGAAACTCCGATTTTATGGAGGCCGTGCAGAGATCTGCTAATTATTGCCTTTTTAGCGAAAAAAGGTCGATGGTATTTTTTTTAAATACGACCGCTCGGAATTATTTCCAAATTTTATGCTCGATTCCCAAGCACTCTTGTGGCGGTCGTTAATTTCCACCCGACTTTTACTGCTGTTGTGCTGAGTGTGTAAATTCATAAATTTGCATCCAAAGTGACACACTTTGCGGTCGCTTTTTTATATAAAAAAATATCTCGCTTTGCGTAAAATACCTAATTTACATGCGAGAAAAAAATATAAGAAGATATAAATAAGAGCGACTAATGAGCCGCGAAATTCTGGAAAAATCGGCAAAATTTTGCTGTTTTTATAAGACGAGGGGACAAACAAGTTCAGGTCAACTAGTAAGCACGTGGTAATATTGTGGACCCAGAGCAAAATTAAACTGGAGGAAGAATCCACCATATAAATCTGATGACTTTTTTCTTATATCTGATGAGACGCTTGGAAATTCTTTAATGCTGGTAAGTGACAATTCCTGAATTATAAAAAGCCTCGGCCAGGTGATAAAATTTTATTAGCCTTCTTTCTTCAAAATCACCTCTCTAACTCGCGGCAATAGGATTTTAAGTGTCACTTTTGCTTTATCTTAATCGACACCACGACATAAATTTACGTGGGCAGCAGCATTGCAGATTAAGTTAAGCAGACTTTTAAATAAAATCGACATTTATATAAATAACTTTTAGTTATATGTTGAATAATATAGAAGATATTCATAGAAAAAATGGCATGATTTTCGAATATATTCTCTTTTATTTGTCGATTTTAAATGCAGCTTAACTTAAATATGTGTACTCATATATTTCTTTAAAGAGAAAATTACAATAAACCTAATTTTAAAAGAACACTTCTTTAAGGTGCGATTAAAAAATTCAATTTATGAAATAAATGAAATACTGTGAACAAAATAATTTCGAACATAATTTGATATTTTGAGGTAGGCAAAACTGTTCAATATATTTTGCACTACAATGTAGGCCAATGAACCGCTTTACTCTATAGATAGGAAGAAAACACACTCACAACGCATCATTTAATATTTTAATAGACTAACCCAGAAATAGACTTATATACAAAAAAAAGGTTAGAAACTTTTGCATCGGTCTCATTTTACGTCTGCTAGATAAAACCGGTCCCATAAATTTGCAGCAAAATTGATGTTCCACTAAACTCTAAACTAGCATGATAAGGGCAATTGAAGTCTATGTATATAAAGCATACATTAAAAATGGAGCATTAACAAATCTTGAGGTACGTGTGACTTTTTTACATTGCTATTTAATTTATTTTCAATTTTTTCTTACATAGCGTGGGTTCACACTGCGGTGTCTCTTTTGATGTCAGTGATTTAATTGTAATACATAAACATTATTCCCTTTTTATCTCTATTTATATCTCCAAATTTGTGTTGACCCAGTAGAAATTATTATGAGTTTTGATTCCCTTTTTACACATTTCCTCACTATTTTTTAATAGATTAGAATAAACTATAAAATTAAAAGAGAACAACAACTTACAGTACTTAAAGCGAAATAAATAATTTAAAAAAAAATGAGCCCGCGAAGTTCTTTTGCCCTTCTGCTCAAATAAATATAATAATCAGCAATATTCAAAATATAAAATAAATTTCAAGATATTAAGTTCGTTTCTAAAGTAAGCTAAAAATTTGTACTCACAAGTGCCGTTTAAGTTTCTGCCGACGATTTTGTTGGCCGGCGCTGCAGTCGAGTCCATGATGGGATGCTGAGGACCTAGTCTCGGGCCCTGGGGACTGGGCCGTGGGACAGGCATTGGGCCTGTGGTCGAGGAGACGCTGAGGGGTTGGTTGGGGGCGAGGGCGGGCGAGAGTCTCAAAGGGCCGGTGACGGCCTCGGCGCTCTGCAGGGGGACGTGGGGCAGCGACATTTATTGCGTAGTCCTATCAACTACGCGCATCACTCACACCAAGAAGCACTAATTCTTTTTTTTCTGTACAGTGTCGCGCACTCCCGATATACAGATCTATAATATTTACACTGGAAATGTTTCAGTTTATATTTATATGTACAAAAGGGAACGGGTTGCGGGGGTGAATTTCTTAATTTCTCCTCTGGTCTGGGACGTTAAGGTTGTATCTCGGTCTCGCAAAAAGCAGCAGTCTGAAACAATCAATAAAAAAGGAAGGTTGAATTAATCAGCTTTTTATTGGATTTAAAATTAGGTATATACATTAGTCTAGCTTTTAAATTAACTATTAACTACAATATTTATCAGGTGAAAGTGTGACATATTAATAAATGTTTTCGGCATTGAAAATTAAGAAATCGCAAAATATTTAGATTGAAATATCTTTAGCCATTTTTTGTGTTTGTAAGCATAAATAGATTCCTCAATTATTTTCATTTTTTAATTCTTTTCATTCAAATTTTCAATTTGGAAATAATTTTTTTTAAGAATAGCTTGATAGTTTAAGATCTCAACCATGTGGTTATACCCATATAAATAGTATCGAAATCTTCATTCTTTATGCAGCTGAAATAAAGAATAAGGTGCGGCAGAGTAATAAAGAAGCAACGTGCTGATTAAGAAGTCAAAGAGATGTTTGCAGATGATCTGCGATCAAGATCCACTAATCGCTATTAAGAGAGCCAGTTTTTGATCAAACACTACTTTATGATCTGTCCAGCTGATTAAGTTACGTCTTCAATTCAAATCGCGAAAAATTGGCGGATTAATTCATCTCTGCACACTATGTTTAAAGCCGCCGATACATAAATAACAATACTAAAGATATATCAAAAGAAAACAAGACGCTACATTGTAATTGTGGGGGGTATGAAGAAACACGTACACCGCAGTGATATTGCAATGGTTCACTTTTATAAACAAGGTCCTCTCTGGTAATTCCGTTTGGCATCTTTATTGTTGCATTTATTTTCATACCCAGCTCTTAAGGAGAAGTTAATTGGAAATTCATGTCTGCAAATATTTGTCTTGCCGCATTTAAAAACCTCGTTGGAAAGAATTCAGAACGTATAATAAATACGGTAATTAATATAGCCATTAGTACAAAATCATACTAAATTTAAGTCCCCAAAGCTGTAAAATCTAGTACCAGTGGATCAAGGAATACCATTTTTACTATTAATTATTCTCATCTCTAAAATAATATTACAAGAAAATTATTTATCGTTAATTCTGTCAGTAAAAAAAAATTAATTTACTTGAAAGAAACAAATTAATTCTGACAATGTCCGGCTTCGCTTTGAAACAAAAATTTTGTAACTTTAGGGGGCGAAAGAATTTTACAAAGTGCCGGGTGGTGGCGGGGGTGGCAGTGTGTGTACTCACTGGGGGTGCTATAGTCACATGACCGGACAGAGGTCAGGGGTCACCCATCACAGAGCGTATGTAAGTGGGTGTGTGTGTGAGTTGTCTCTCCGGTCTAGTGCTGAAAGGATTGAGAAGTGCGCTCGGACCCAGGTGTGCTTGGGTACTGAACCTCGGCCGCGGCGGGGAGGGTATGAGCCCCGGGGTGGGGGCACTGCGGCCTCCGAGGGGGGCGGCACCACCTCCCGCCCGCATTGGCCCGGCAGCCAGTGCCCGCCGTCGCTCCCTTGGTTTTTTGCCACCCGCAAAAAAACGCGCGCGCGAGTATTGACTGCGTTTTTGCTTCGCCCTGGCCCCGATTTCTTCTATTTTGGCTGAGCCTGTACAGACTCTCTCACGTACACTAGGGCTGTCTCATGTGCACAGCACAGACGCTCGGTGCAAATAGAACTAGGCCGTTATTCACACACCGCAACTTCACCTCAAGATTATTCAACCCTTTGAATAAGATGCGGCAAAGATTGCAATGAACAAATGATCAGGGGTGAATTTATTTTATATCATTTATTAATTATGCAAAAGAAGGCAACATTATAAAAAAAACTTTTATGCAGTACTGTATTAAAGTTTAAGTTGATTTAAGTAAATGAAGTTACATTTATCATATTAATTAAATACTTTGAAGAAACAATATCTTTAAAAATTTTGTTGATTAATGAAAAGTTTCAAAAAAATATTATCTTTTACAATTTGTTATCTAAAATTAAATTTAAAACAAATTCAAACTTGAAACTTTCAAATTTATTCTTTCTAACTGTCAGTTCTATTTTTTTTTTTTTTTAATTATTTTTAACTGCATGAAAATGAAATCACTTTCTTCTTTTCAAAATTACATTTTTGAAGTCATTAACACTCCGTGTTGAGTGATACTTTCTTGGCATGCAAACAAGCGAGTATGATCCGCTTTGACTCTCTCACAAGCTTTGACGCGAGAAAAGAGGCTTCTGTTTTCTGTTATGATATGCAATGCAACCGATTATATCAAAGGGATCATAATAACCGGTAACAGCTGTGGCAGGAGAGCGCCTGTTGCTCGCCGCATCCGGGGGTTGTGCAGGCCTCTACCTCACCCCAAGCACCCCTAGTCAACCCTTCGCTACACTACCCACAGATGCCGCTTCCGTTCAAGTTTTAACATTTGCTGTCAACTGACAGGGGAAATTGTTACAAAGATCGGCGATTTCTTTTATAAATTTTTAAAAATTGGCTGCAAACTTTCTACGAGCATATAAATTAGTGAAAGAACCTCTTTCAATGATTGGCAAAGTTTTACCTTTAATAATAAATTTATTATGATTGTATGATGACCTTGCGAATTTTGCTTGAATTTCGCTGCGTAGTAAATTCTCTTTTGAAGATTATTAAATGACATTTTGATTAAATGTAGTAAAATTTGAATTCAGCAGGGTTTCCTTATTCGCTTACAGTTGTTATCCTCATGAAAATTTACATTGTTATATTTAATTTTTTTTTAATGTGTAAAATTTATGTTCAACTTCATTAGCTGAGTCACTGAATAATTGATCGTACAAATAATTTTTAAATGTCTAATTCGTCCTTGGCAATTTATTGGGCTGTGAAATAGAAGCATGGTTCATCGGTTGCCAGAGTTCTTTTTTTTGGCCACTCTCCGCAGCCTGCTCAACTTCGGTGCTTGCCACGTTGCATACCTTCACACGATCAGCGAAACGTATTGAAAACATTTTTGATATCATTATAATAATTCAATTATTGCTTCTTTTGTGAGTGATATGAAATATTTAAAAACAAAATAACACAAAATTTGCTAAACCTATAAGACATATAGTAACCTGGTCCGGAAACTTAAACTAGAAACTGAATAAATTAATTTTGTAGTGAATTTCTCAATCGAGGATTGATTCATGGGGATTTGATTTGAAAGTCGGCTTTTTCTCCATGGGTTTTGTGAGTTGTTTATTGTCTAAGAAAAAAATTATCCTTCTCTACATATTTTGGCTGTGGACTAGGATATATTTTTTTTACTTAAAACAATAAAAACCCACGAAACCCATGAAGGAAAAAGCCAGCTTTGAATTCAAATCAACATGAAAAATTAAATTAATTAATATATGAAAATTGATAAATTTTATAAGAATTGATGTTCAGAATTTATTTTTGATTCCAGAGATTCAATTTTAAATACCGATTAATGCGCAATGTGTGGTGAACTCTGATTTAATGAAAAAACGGTTTACTTTAGTTTAATTTCTAGAGCATTTTACAGAATTTTTATGGGGAGAAACTCCATTTTTGTGGAGGCCAAGCAGGATGCTCAATTATTGCCTCTTTTAGTAATAAAATATAACTGCCGTTGGTCTCTTTTTATAAAAAGTGGCTACTGCTTGGATTATTTCCGAAATTTATAACTCAATATGTAAGCACTCTCAGCGTGGTCGTAAATTCCCACCAGACTTTTACTGCTGTATTGCTAAGCGTGTAAATATACAAATTTGCATCAAGTGACACTTTTCGCGGCTGCTTTTTGATAGTAAAAATCGACTTTTGCGTAAAATACCTCATTTGCATGCGAGATAAAAAAAAATGCGGACTCAAAAAAGAAATAAATAAGCCCCTAATCAGCGACTAATGAGCTGCAAAATCCTGGAAAAACGCCTAGAATTCACGTGAGAGGACAAACAAGTTTGAGAAAAAAGTAGAACACGTATGTGACAATTTATAAATTTATTTTAGGAAATTACGATCTAGGCCAGTTATATTATTTTTATGTTGCCTTAATAAACAAGTTTTTTTTCGAAGTTATTATATTTTCGCAATTTTAACTTTAATGAAATTTCTACATAAAAGTAAAAATTTATCATTCTCTAAAAAAGAATTAAACAACGACGAGTTCCATTAAATTAATTATTGAATTTTAACACTTTTATATAGAAATCATTTGCGCTTGCAATGTTAGAATTTAATAATAGAACCCCCAAAAAAATATTATTTCAAGTGATTGAGTGTGATAGGAGATTTTGATTGCTATACAGGGTTTTAGTGAGCTGTTCAATATAGCATGGTGTGACTATTTTATTACGATTGATTATTTTGACTTGATGAAAGAAAAATAATCGATATAACTCATTGTGAGCCACTCCATTGAATTTTTTGTTTTCTTTATCATACTATGTTCAAATTCATAAACGCTAGCTTGGATAATTTGTCGTTCCCTTGTTTATATTTTTATTTTTGCAAATTAGTAATTTCTAATTATTTTTTATAGAAGTATGAACATTTACTCAGCAATGAGTGGAACCTTAATATTGGTGAAATATTTTTAATCTATTTAGTCAAATTTTAATACTTTGTTGATAATCAAGGCTAACAAGGCTTGTTCAGCAATAACTTGCTTTTTTAGCAACTAAAAATTATGAGAAAATAAATTTTTGTGCAAAATCCTTTAGCTAATAATTTAGATAAAGTGAAAAACTGACCTCGGAGAAATTTTACTGATAGAAAACAACGACGGCTCTTGTATTTTAATAAAAACCCTTTCTTTAGCTTGGAGTGCTTGGACTAGTCAGCTTTTTCGTCAATAATTAATTAATAAATGTTCAAAATTAAAAGATTAGCCCTTGAATATGTTCTTAATTTATTCAACCATCTGCCTGTCCGTTGAAAACGATCAAGTCCTTTGTTCGCGGTTTGTATGATAGAGCGATCAGCCTCGCTTTTCCACAAAAGTAAAGAGCGCAACGTGCGAGGGTTGCATAAAAAGTGGTACTGGTCAGTCCGGGGGCTGCGCTGGGGCCGTGGGGTGGTTGGTGCGTGCAACGGCTCAAGGCCAGGGGGAGGCTTTGGGGAGCCAACCACCATCCCCCAGGGGTGAGTCGTCGCTCCCCCAAAATGGCCGCCCCTTTGTCCCGTTTGTGTGTTTCTTTGTGCTGCAAGAAGAATTTGAAGAGAGTGCAGCTGCCGGCCGGGCCAAATTTCGGCGGCGAGACGCCATTACAGCCCCGGTCGAATTCACGGCGTCTTTTAAATGCAAATCCTGCAGCTATATACAATTAAGAGATTCTTTTGTCCGCGATTTTGTGTTTTATGGCCTTGTATCTTGGTGCTAACGAACATTTCACCTTGTTCAATTGTATTGTATGGACGGTTGGCTTCTGTTTTCAAATTAGTTTGATCCTGCTGAAGTTGATTGCATTAAATGTCAATCATGAAAATTTATTCGAACTTAAATCAAGGTTTCACACTCTCTTAATCAAGCTGATAAGTTTAAACTCTAAATTAACTAAAATCATTATGCTTCAATTCCTGGTTATTAATTATGTATACTTATGGAAAAAATAGCTTACCGACCATGAATGATAAATCAAAGGACGCCTTCATGTAGAAAGCAAAAACTGAACGTAGTAAAAGAAATATTAAAATATTTATTATTAATATTTATTATATTATAATAATATATTATAATATTATTTATATATATTAATTTTTATTGTAAATTTTGATTTATAATAATTCAAAAAATTCAAATGTAAGTATTTTAAAATCATTAATATTCTTTACTTATTTTTAATGATTGTGCGTGTTGGCAGCATAAAACATGAATATGTATGAATAATTTAAATTTGCACTGAAATGGTATGAAAAACATAAAAGAGGAAAGGAGACTGGAAAAGTTTTTAACAATTATCATTTGCAGAATGAATCATTTAAGAAATGTGCATTTCTAAACAGATTCAATAATAGTTTCCAAAGTTTAATATTATTTAAAATTTTGCACAATGTAATTTCGTTATAGAGCTAAATTTTGAAAACAAAAAACCTCAGTGCGGAAAATATGAAGAATAACTTTGAAATAAATTAATGAAAGTCTTGATTTTTGACCATAAATGTATGTATTATTTTTTTTAATCGAAATCTATGAATCTAATATTAATACAATTTGTAAAAAATGGTTCAAATTAATCATTAAAAAATCTATGGCTCTTTTCATTTCTTGCATTATTTTTTTGTGGTCGGTTTTAGCCAAAATATATTAAATTGTGTCGTCGTTTTATGTTATTATACTTCATATATTATGTAATGTTGCTGCTTAAATAATATAACTCGATGTCAAGTTGAATGTTGGAGCAGACAATAATTTAAGAATT